AATGGGGCAATGTCATTCTTTCTGACAGAGGCATAGAATTCCATTGTGTATATATACCACATTTTCTTGATCCATTCATCTACTGAGGGGCATCTTGGTTGGCTCCATGCAATTGTTTCTAACATATTTATAAGATGATTTCTTTGTTGCTTTGTATGTCCCTCTCCACAGTATAACCCCTGCATTCACTGTATTTGATGTTGGTATAATTTGTAGAGGGGAAGGGAAAAAACAAATGGTTTAGGGATACAGGTGGACCCAATGCAACAATGAGATGTACAAATCATTATACTGAAAAACAAAGTTTACAACTTTGGCCGGGGTGGGTGGGGGGGAGGAGTGGGGAGCTGGGAGTGGGGGGGAGATGGAAAGGGATGGGAAGGGGAAACAAAGGAGGAGGCAACAATGCTTAATAAGAAATGTACTCACTATCTTGCCCATGTAATTGTAACCCCTCTGTATGGTATTTTCACAATAAAAAAAAAGAAATGCTTATGATTTTATGGTGCTTATGGTCACTCTTTGGCCTAATTACAGAAGTTAATAATAAAAATGCCAAAGATTCCCCTTGCATCATACAATTGTTGGCTCAAGTCTGCAGTAGTAATGCTTAAGATTTTAAAGATACTAATTTTCTTTGACGAAACGCCAAAATGAATTATATTTGGCTGTATTAACAACATAGAAACATACCTTCTATAAAATGTTAGATACACTGTGAAATGCTTAGCTTCTATATAGTTCTGTAGCAACCCAAAAACATTTAGCATATGCAAGAAATGCTTTTATCATTTGTGCTCTATGCTGCCTAACTAGAAGCACACTGGGATATACCACACTAGGACACAAAATAGAGTACCAAAATCCAGGGCTCTGGCTCAGATTCTATCCAGTCACATCAAGAACCAATATTTCATTATATGTACACATGATTCAAAAACCACACTATTGGTGCTGGGAATATAGTTTAATGGTACAGTGCTTGCCTAGCATGCATGAGGCCCTGAGTTCAATTCCTCAGTACCACATAAACAGAAAAAGCCAGAAGTGGCACTGTGGCCTTAAGTGGCAGAGTGCTAGCCTTGAGCAAAAAGAAGCTCAGGAACAGTGCCCAGGCCCTTAGTTCAAGCCCCAGGACTTGGCAAACAAAACAAAACAAAAGAAGCCATAGTATTTGAGTGCCCTGCCTGACACTAATTATTTCCAGACCTGAGGACTACTGCAATTGTATTAAATTTTACCTTATTCCTTAGTTACCCTAGAAAATGAAAGTAAAATACTGGGAGTTTTCCCCCCTAATAAAGGCAAAGTAAGAATACTTCTTTTCTTTTTTGAGAATTTTATATCAACTTCTATAATTATTAAAAACAGAAATCACTAAAATCAGTTATTTTCCACTCTCACCATCTTTTCCCTCACACATATTTCACAATTTGTATTTTTATTTACTTTATTTTTAAAGAAAAGTCTAACAGAAATGGACAAAAGGGTGAACAAATATAGCAGCAGTAGTCAGTAGATACTGAAAATGAATGATACAACTTGTGAGCGGGGATGGGAGGGAAAAACTGTGAGAAAGTGAAGGAAGGAGTAATATTGTCCAAAAAGAAATGTATTCATATACCCTCTGGTATATCACTTTTTATAATAACAATTCAAAGAAGGAAGGAAGAAAAGAGGAAAAAAGTCTATTTTGGTACCTAGTTCTGGTAATACAAGGTCAAGGGCTGAATTTGGTAATGGCTTTATTGTTGGCAGAGTACCAAGGGTAAGACATTAGGAGCAATTGCAATTTATTTATTTATTTTTTTAATTT